CACACACACACACACAAAGAAATGTCTGCCCGTATTGTATTTCAAAGTTACTATAAATATGGCATTGTATTTTGTGAACTCATATTAAGCGTGTTATGTTGTCAATATAATTTAACATTATAGAATTTAATATATTTAACTTTAAAATCAACACTAGTAGTTTTTTTTGTGTGGAGAGGAACAATATAAAGAAAAATAAAGCTGAGTTCATGTGTTGTTGAGCCCGTCTTTTATATGTCCAATAAATTCAGACTGAGAGAGTGAATGCCAATGTGATTTACAATTAAACGGTTAGTTCTGGTCATTTATTAAGGGCAATAATTACTCTTACTATTAATATTCTTAATGATTCTAACTCTTAACATCGTGTGCCATGTATTTACATTCTCCATTGCCTGGCACCATTTCGCAAATTGCAAGTGGCCCTCCTCCTCGGCTGCCGTAATAACCATGGCGACGCAAACAATTGCCCGTTGCCAAGGCAACCGTGTGGCCGACAAAACCTCTCCTGCTCACACAGGTGACTGTTGTTGGCGGTGTTTTCACCACTCAGACGGGATAAATAGTAGTTTTGAAAGCTATTTATTTGAAAGAAGGTAAGAATGCGTCTGTTAGACCAGCGCTGTTTAGTTTAGCAATAACTCTGTTTACGTTTGACTGTTCTCTAATAGCGTAAACACTCCTGTCAACGTGGTTTCAAATGTAGATTTTATGTGTTGAATGTGTTTAATGTTGGTTGAATTCTCTCTTTTTCCAGCCATGTTAGCTGAGGCTCGGGGTCCTGAGCCCCTGGCTGCAGGAGCACAGTGGGAGCCCCCCACCTCTGGGAAATATATCAAAGTAACTCACATATCACAACTTCACTGAACTTCTGTGTTAAATTTGTTTAGTTTATAGCTTTACCAACTCTGAATAACCAAAATGGTCCATTCGCCACAGCGGTCTATTAAGTCTCTATTTTATTATAAAGCTGTCTGTCTCTTTTCTCTGCCTATATATGCCTACAATTAGGAACAATGCACCATACGAGTCCTTAATGAAATTGATCACAGTATGTCCTAAAGCAGTTACAGTAGCTACACATTAGCTGGTGGACTGAAATAAAATGGACCTATTAATTATTAGTTATTCTGACACATTGATTGATTTATAAATCCTTACTGGTCTCTCTCACAATATCGTACCAGCACAAAACATTTGAGTCTGAATTACACAACTCTGTGCTCCGAGAGAAAGTGGGCTCTTCTGATGTGCCTCTCAGTACGGCCGTGTAAGCTCTGCAATAAACATGAAATACTGAATATTCAATCTATACTGTCTGTGGGGCATCTTCTGCAGTTACTTGAAAAGTTATTTATCTTTTTCTAAACTCACATCTTCTGCAACGCCCCACCCTTCAGGATCCAGGGATACACCAGAGGCAAAAGGGTGGAAAGCACCAGCGACAAGCGTCAAGCCAAAGAAGCTGCTTCTTGGGGTTGGAAATGAAGCCAGAGCTGGTCTGGGAGGACTGGGACCTGCGAAGAAAGTTCACCAAGACATTAGTGTTAAAGAATATCCATAGCAAGTTGCAGAAGCTACACGTCAGGTCTTACAAACACACACTACTTCCAAGCACTGCACTCTACATTTTGAGAGTATCCAGAATCTATCGTGTTTTTATCTTTGCCCTCTCGCAGGCCTCCTGTGTCCAAGTTTTTCACCACCATGATTCCCCAGACAATTGTTCTCAGCCCAGGGACTTCTTTTTCAATGCCAGTCATCTTTAGACCACTCCAGAAGGTAACACGTCACAAAGTTACACACTATTAGTAGATCTTATCAGTAGTTTGAAAGTATTGTTCCCCCAAGGCTTTTATATGTGGGCTCAATTGACTTTTCCAGACTAATACGTTAGCAGTCTCTTCATTAAACATGCTCAGGTACTGTAAGTCTAAATAATTTGACTTTCAGTAACAAAAATCTAAAATTATTTGTTATGAATCTACACTCTTTGTTGAGCCGAGAAAGATACACATATGGCATATACAGATTGTTATTCATAGTTAAAATGAATAATTAAAGACATGTAACATGATCTACTTCACCTGTTTAATCTTCATCATCTGCTTGGGACAGTGTGAGTATGAAGACAGCATTGAGTTTCAAGGTAAAGATGGCAGCTTCCAAGTATGCCTCCGTGCCATCATTCCCTGCCATGCCCTGGAGTTGCCCGACTCTGTGCTGCTGCCACTCTGTGCTGTTCAACACTCCTCACATACTACGTTCCTGCTCAGAAATGTCAGGTACATTTAACTAATGCAGAAAAAAAGAAGGGATGAAAAAGGTGTTGTACGAATTATTTTAAGTATTGGTGTGTTCATGTTCTTACCCGTGTGTTTGTGCTTTTCAGCAAGGAGATAGACAAATGATGCCATACTCTTCACTCTCTCACCTTTGACTTCACTGTACTCTTGTTAATAAATCCCACTCTCCCTCTCTCCTTTTTGTGCGTCTTCCACATTTTTCTGCATACTCTTCTTCCCACAGTAAACTCCAGACATGCTTCCAGTGGCAGTGCACAGCACCGTTCCAGCTAGCCCCTGAGCAAGGCTTATTGAAGCCTGGCCAGGAGTGTCACATCACTGTGGTCTTCCAACCACAAGAGGCACTGGTGTGCCAGCAACAGGCGTACTGCTGGTTTGGAGAAGAAGGGGACAAGGCAGAGAGCTGCTGCACTGTACTCCTGCAGGGACTAGGTACTGTAACTCACTGCTGAGACAGGACTAAATGAGATTTACAGATTTTGGATGCCATGTGTGTGGTTCTGACACATAAATCAGCACCATAGACCGTACAATCAGTATCTAAACAATTACTATTGGGGCACAATTTGTGGTCCAATCTGAATGGATAGGTAGGAATAAGATAACAACTTGATCTCAACTTTTTTGCAGGTTTGAATACATAAACTAAAAATTAAAAAAGAAGCAAAATACAAAACACACAACCAGCTGATCACTGGGCTGACTGTATATAACTATGCACATTTGAGCAAAGATGTATATTCCATAATTGTTTTAATCACCACTTCATTTTTCATATACTGACAATATGCCTCTGTATTATGGATTGAACCATATGGCAAATGGTGAATATAATCATTTTCAGAATACTGTGCAAGAAGATGAGGGGTAAATGGGAACCAATATGCTCTCACACTTCATCTTGTCTTACCTCTGATTTCTTTTTCAGCCAAGTACCCATGTCTTCAGCTGAGAAATCCAGGTACCAAGGATGAAAAAGAACAGTGTAGTCCAGTGCTGCACTTTGGCTCCGTGGCAGTCGGCCAAAGTTTGCAGAAACACTTTGACATCTTCAACCCCTCTCCTGTGAGTAGTGCAGAAAGATACACAAATTCAAATGTACACTCTCAATGGCCTTCTCTCTCATCTCTCTTTGTGCCCCTTTCCTCCAGGTTACTGCGTCTTTCTCTCTGTCACACCTGTCCAATGGGGTGCCTTTATTGGGGTCAGAGTTCAGATGTGATGTCACCAGGGGTAAGGTGGCGCCTGGTGGATCACTACGGGCTGCAGTCACCTATACTCCTGCTGTGGTGGATACCGTCGCTGTAGAGTACCTGTCTCTAAAATGTAGAGGGGCACTCAATGAAAGTCTGCTCAAACTCACTGGAAACTGTACAGGTACGGGACACACAGAAAGTCAAACAATCTAAACCCCACTACCAAGTTCTTCAACTTTAACTCAGAGTCTAGAATGAGAACAAATACTTCTTTTTATAACTAGGTGTCAAAGTTTCCTTGTCATCCTCTGTGGTGGACTTTGGCTGTGTTGAGGAAGGACAAGCGGTCGTACGGACAGTGGAGCTGTTTAATTCTTCGCCCGTTGATGCTATCTACCAATGGGACCTGGACTGTAGCGGGCACAGTGTTTTCAGCATCCATCCAGCAAATGGTACCTTACGCCCACAGAGCCATACCACACTGAAGGCAGTCTATAGGCCCACACATCCTATTGCACATCACAGGAGAGTGCCATGTCTCATACTGCACAGGGTAGGAGCCAATATGCAGATGCATACGCACTCACAGCATGCACAAAACCCATCAAGACTATTTATTCTACTGACCTACCTCATCTCCTTTGTAGGACCCCATGTTCCTTGACCTGATTGGTACCTGTCGCTCAGAGCATCAGCAACCGGCCATACTGAAACCTGAACACTTGGTTCTGTACAAGCTCCACTGGTACCGCAGACAGGAACTGCCAGACACTCCCAGTGCCATGCAGCCAGATCCTAATGTCCGCTTGGACCAACAGGGAGTGCTCTGCCCCGTGGAGGAGGTAAAGTGTCAAAGGCAGATGACAGATGTGCAGATTTCACTTCTGAACAGCAGATGTCACTAAGGAAGGGTGCAGTAAAGGTCTAGTATTGTGACTCTTTCTCTTTGTCATTCTCTAGCAGTCACACCAGAGACCAGACAGTGCTGGTGCTATGTCAAGAACTCCCATGGAGGAATATTACGAAACCTGCATGGGGTACATGGATCCCCTCTCCTGCGGTTCTTTATTTTCTCCACATGTATCCGTGGTGCCCAGTGAGCTACTATTTAATCACAAAATGTCCTCCTCTTTGTCGACTTCATCCACTTCCTCTCAGTCAGTCTCCATCACCAACCACACCAGAGGGAAACTCAGGTACCCTTGTCATGATTGTGGCTTCTCACTATGGCACACATGTTTTTTTCTATATGAAACATGACGAGAATTTCTGTTTTATTGTTTTTCTTGCTCAGTCTGATTTCTGTTGCATGTGATTCTGCTTCAGCCTGGTGTGGACTGCTCCCCAAGACTCTCCGTTCTCTGTAGCTCCCTTATCATTTGACTTGGCTCCACTGAAGTCCACCTCATTCAGAGTGACCTATGACCCCAAGCAGTTCAATACTCTCCACGCAGCACAACTTGAGTGCTTTGCATTCTCTAAGGTAATATTTATTATCTACAGTAACAATTCCATCACGTCAAGCGATGGTGCGCATCTTTTTGAAATAAATGTCTCAAAAAATATGTCAGTTAATAATCCTGCAGAGGCCTTTTCTAATTTGTCCCCCCCTCTCTGTTGAGAAGCAGAACAATTCCATGCAACAGGTGCTGCAAGACAATAAGCAAATAGAGGAGCCACTGCTGTGTCCACCCTGGTGTGTGACTGTCAGAGTCATAGGCCACTCCTTTCAGCCAGGCAAAGAGCATTTCATCCCATGCTGCTCACTGAAGCCCCCTCGAGTGGTGAGACACAAGCATGAAAAAGACACAAATGTTACAGTATATCTTTCTTTCTCTTTTTGTCTATTTATCTGTTTCCTTGAGTCTGTCCTTTATCTGTAGTTTTACCATTCTCTCAATACCTACAGCAAAGAGTTAAGCTGATTTTAAGCTGATGTATAATTTCCCTGTAGAAAAAAGGCATTGTCAACCTTTCTTTTGAAACAGGTATAAATGACTATGTAGCACTGCTATACACTAACTGTGACTGTAATATTTTGTTCTTTCTAGGTGTTCCCAGCCCTTAGTGCTCTTTCCTATCGGACAGTACTCCTCCAGAATTCCGGAGACCTACCCCTGACTTTCTGTTTGGACCACAGCTCATATCCTGCCTTGGCAGAATCTGTGTTTGTAGTGCCGAGCTGTGGTTTGATCCAGCCTGGGAATCATCAAATCCTCACCCTCAGAACAACTCCCACAGAAGACAGTCCTAAACAGGGGTTCAGTTTACTCTTTCAGCTCAATGCAGCGAAACACACAAAGGTACCATATAAACTACACGGGAACGCAGGCGACAAAAGCAGCAGCACTCACCACGCGGTTCTTCTTGCGGGTTTTTCATTCAGTGCATCTGTCTTTGTGTCCTTTAGGAGCTGAAAGTTGTTAGTGTGGTGGAAAAGCTGTGTGTGTCTTTGGAAGGAGACAGCAGTTTATATTTCCACCCAACAGCAGTGGGCTCACGGACCACGCGCTCCCACCACATCAGGAACCTCAGCCGCCTACCTCTACGGTTGGTTGGCATAATGGTTGTTATTCCAGCTCTGTATTTGTGACAGTGTTTGTTGTCTGGATTTATGCCAGAATCATTAATCTTGTCTACAGCTGGCTTTCTGTGATTGTCCATTATGATAGATTCCAGTGGAGCATTCCAGAGCCAGACCAGGAGCTTATCTCTGTTGAACCGGATGCTGGCGAACTGCATCCCAATGAGAGCTCAGTGAGAGACTGAAATAATCATACATACATTTACAGACCCTGTGCAACTGATAAAAACAAATCTTAGTAACTGAAATTATTTACCTTTTCTTTTACTTTTGGTTTATGTTACAGGCCCAAATATGGTCCTTCAGCCCACTGGCCGAAGAAACATACACATTCAAAGCCACTCTCACCTTCTGGCCGATCCAGACACCTGGATTTAACAAGTCACAGCTTACCCTTAAAGTGGTGGGAATGGGCTCTAAAGGCTTCATAGAGGTGGGACTTTTATTGTGTTTGTGTGTGATTTTTTTGTGTGTGTATGCTCTGTATGTCAGGTTTCAAGACAATATCAAATAACTGTTACATTCACCTTTTGAAGCATGAATTACCAAACCAAGCAGTGTGTCCATGTTTGTTTTACTCCCCAGGCAGAGAAAGCGGTTCTGGATGTTGGGGAGATTCTGGTTGGAAGCTGTCGGTCAATTGAGGTTCCTCTCGTGAACAACAGCCCCTGTCCTGTCTCCTTTTGTCTCTCTGTACAGCAGAAACTTGTGGAACCTATTTATGACCCAGAGACTGTGCCAAGTGGTATTCTCTTTTGTGGCCTTTTTCATCATTTCATCAATCATTTTATGTGTGTGCATGATATTCATCAATTCTCTGTGACAGAGTGTTTGAATTTAGCATATTAATTTTTTTAGTAAGGTGAATAAAGAGTCCTAACTGTAGAACGTGTCTGGTCTGTAGATGTAACAAAAAGTACAGCAGTTGAATCAGTGTTGTAGACTAAATGTGTCCTGTTTGGCCTTCAGCCTTACAGCTGGACTGTGAGAGGGGAACCATCGCATCACACTCCACAATGCTGCTTCGATCCACTGTCAGACCACACAGACGAGCCCAGCACCTGTGGACCATCAGCTACCAGACGCTGGATGCCAGTGGTACATATAAAACACACACACACACACCTAAAGGTATTCTGCTAAGTGATTTTTTCTTGTGCTCCCTATTTTGCTACCTTTCTATATCTGTCTCTCCCACCAGGATTTGTGTCGTCTCCTCCCCAAGCAGTGTGTGAAGTGCGAGCTAAGGGCGTGTTTCCCACCCTCAAGGTGATTGATGTGTGCGGTGGTGGCAGTGTGGGAAGAATCAGCAAGGTGCTTCTGTGGAAACTCTTCTCACTCGACAGCCTCAACGAGCACCTTCTCTCCAACCCCACCTCTGCAGAACTCACGTACAGAACCCCCACCAGGCACAGGTTAGGGGCACAACTATGCTCAAACATTGTATTTTGAAGAAAATTATAGATTATTTTGTGAAAGATGTAAATATCTTGAATTTCATACAGCTTGGTTCCACTTTTACAGTCATAATTAGATTATTTTGTACAAAACAGATTTCAACAGTGCTGATACAATGCACATCTTTGTATACAATATATATGTTGTATAATGTCAAGGTGTGGAGGATGGAGGTATGACCTTGTATTGTTTTCCTGTTTCTAGTCTGCGCTCTTGTCCTTCCATCTTCACTAAAGCCATGTTGGATTTTAACTTCAGTGCCGCTCCCCTGAATTCAGACCCCTCAACTTTTGCGTTGATGTTTCACAACCCTTGCTCCATTCCTGTAGACTGGTGAGAAAAAGTAAAGCTTAAAGAATACAGTCCATCCACGTCAAAGATAACTGCAGTTTTACAAACATTGCTTATACAAACTGAGCTTGATAGAGACGATTTGAATAACCCTCTGAAATGGCCTTCTCTTCAATATTAGGGCATTCTTGTTTCCAGAAGACCAACAGATTGAATTGGAGTACTGGGCTGAGACAGGAGAGTTTAGCAGCACAGAGCTGTACCAGATGAAGGTCGGGCATGTCTTTTCTTCAGCTAAGAATTTTCAATTTAAATATAACTACGTGATTGAAATTGACAAAAATTACAGACACAAAGCAAAAGTATCTTCATCTCACTGGCAGGTTCAGGACAACCATCTGTTCAGCGTTTCTCCCCGTTCTGGAACTTTGCTCCCTGGCCAGCAGAGGGCAGTACTCTTCAGCTACAGGTGAGATCATTGCAAAGGATACTGCACAGAATGATAAATCTGATAATTTGTTAATATTGGCCAGGGTGAGAGTTGCCTAAAATCAGTAGCATTTAAGCTTTTATGTATGTATTCTTCTGGGCACCAGATTACACTAATAACATGATCCCCAAAAAATCTAAACTTTGTCCTTCACAGCCATGACTTTGTTGGGACAGATCGGTTTCCTGTCGTGTTCAAACTTTCTTATGGCAGAGAGATCTTGGTGAGGCAGAATTTCTTTTAAATCTACATGAGGCCCATATTTATTCATATTTAGTATACGACACAAAAACAAAATTTGCTTGACTATTCCTGTAGAATCAAAATTTAAATTACAGTAGTTTCTTTGCTGAAATTCACAGTTCTTTCACTTCAGCAATACATCCCACAATACAAGTATGGTGAACTCTTTATATTTGTTAAATACCTAATGTTCACTTCATATGCTTGTGTTGTGGTCCTGCGTGTAGCTGAACTTTCAGGGGGTGACGGTGGAAAGAGACAGGTTGTATCTTCACTTTGTTTCCAAGCGACACGTCTTCACTTCTGTAACGATTGGGGACTGTTCTCCTCCGAGGCAGGTGAGTGTTTAATTTCTATAACATAAAGCCTATTTTGAGTGGCCTATTCACAGTGAGCTGATTATATTGTACCCTAATTGATAATATTTCACAGATTTACTCATATCCAGTGAAACAACTTTCATAAATTCTCTGTAAGTCTAGACAAAACACAGGTGACATTTATATTTGCAGGGGTATGAACTACACAACCGTGGTGCAGTGCCAGTCCATTATGAGGTGGACAAGGCTATGCTGTCACAGCTACAGGTGGATAACTTTAATCATCCAGTGCTGTGCTGCCTGAATCCAGAGGGAGAGGTCTTACCTGGGAAGACGATCCTGCTGGAATGGATCTTCTCTCCAATGGAGGCTAAAATGTACTATGTAAGGATCAAACCATTCTCTGGCTACCTTCTGTTTCCCCTTTTACCACTGACCCTGCTTTTATTGTAGGGGACATATTTCTCTATCAATTTTACATGTTTTCTCTGTAGTTCTATAATCATAGCCAATGTTACTAAACATCAACAGAAGTAAACAATACTTTTTTTTTTCATTCATTTATTCAGAATAATGACTTATAGCATTTATACCATTGACTAACTAGTACCTTAATCTCCTATCTCTGTGATTTTGAGTCAGTTTCTGTGTATCCCCAGATAGATATTTTGATCCACATCCAGGATGGGGACTCCGTGCTAGTGAGGTTTGAGGGATGTGGGTTTCATTCTCCTGCACTGGGCTCCAAAAACCCATTGAACTGTATTGATAGTGAGGCATCTGAACCCTGTGTCCAGAGGCTGCCTTTTCCAGGACAGGTGAGAGCAGTTGTTGGTCTTTTCAAATCATATTGTAGTTAGAGTTTATTCTGCTGAATACCATCAGTCTGCTCCTTGTAAGTCTTCTTGTCTTTGTGCCTGTGACCATTTTAGGCTGTGTGCTCATCTCAATGTTTGTGTGTGTGTGTGTGTGTGTGTGTGTAGGTTGCACTCCTGTCTGAGGACAGTGTCTCTCTAGGCAACATCCCTGTGTGCTCACGAGTTTCAAGAATCCTATTCCTGACCAATGTGTCCCACACAGACACTGTTCACTACACATGGGACCTGCTCCAGCAGGGCAGTCAGCAGGTACAGGGAGGTGTACATAAAGCCTGTGAATAACATTTATATATGTGTGTAACGTTCACCATTTTTAGGAAGAAACTGTCTGTCATACTCAATCATTGATTCTCCCATAATTTTGTTATTTTGTGAAAACTGATGATTCTTTGTTCAGGTGGTGCAGATCCATCCAGAGCGAGGTAGTCTGTGTCCAGGGGAGAGTGCCCTTTGTGTTCTTACATTCACTTCTACTGACTACCCCACTTGTTATCAGTTAGATGTCATCTGTCAGGTACCTAAGCAGTACTAGTGTAGATTTAAAGCTGCATTAAATGGCAAACAGAATATTAGTTCTGTTTTTTTGTTGTTTTTTTCAGTCCAATATTCAATGAAATCCCCTCTCCTCTCCTCTGTTTCATCTCCTCTCCCTTCCTCTACTCTGCTCTACTCTCTTTTCCAGGTTATTCAGGAAGCCGCACTGACTCGGTATCATGATGCTTTGCAGCGTTGGGAGGAAAAGAAAGAGAGACAGCAAGATGAATTTACTATCACGGACAAAAATCATACGGAAAGCCAAAGAGTTCTGATAGATGAGGTCCTTCCTCAAATTCAAAGTCATTTTTTTGACAGTAACCATAACCATTCTTCACCATATTCACCCTTTATCTTGTTACAGGAACTTACAGGAGCTCCAGTAAGAAAAGGGCCATCATTCAGGAAATACAAGGTGGTCCTTATTTGTTGAAAATAGAAGGGATGTTTTGTGGAATCAAATTAATTTATAGATGCAGTAAAAAATGTTTTAAAGGGTTTATAAAGCACAGCTTTGTTTTTACTGCACCTTTTTGACTCACTTTCTTTCACCTGCAGACTCTTCCTCCTATCTGCGGCAGTAGTAGTTGTGAGGCACTGGGCACTATATGTACCAAGGTAACAAGAGCTGAGCGGCGGGCACAGCGAGGCATGGCAAAAGTATGTAGGCGCCCTAAACCCCCACAACCTGCTCTACTGCACCTGGAGGTTACAGCACACTCCCATGGGCTTCTGGAGTACCTGACACACTTCCCTGAGCAGTTCAATGAGCACTATAGGTAAAGCACTTTCTGTAGTTCACAGACAACAAACACAGACTATTGATGCACAACCTTTACATAAGAATATCCTTCATGTATAAACTTAGGAACTTGAGCATCCAGGAGAGCTTCGTTCTATATGTAGTAGCAGAAACATTTTGCATCTGTGCTGTTTTCCTAAGGTGGCTCCAGTCAGTTAAGCCCCAGCAACTTGAAACCACTTCTTCAAGCACATCCCTCCCTGCCGGACTGCAGACACACGGCCCTGAGAGAGAGATCATCACACATGTACTCACCACTCTGCTCAGGTAACATTTGCACAGACATTCAGATACATGCCTGCATGACCGATGGACTTGAGACAATTTATTTGATATTAGATGGAATTCTGGGATTAGCTTTTATGGAGATTAGATTTAGTTATGTTAAGATAACTGCAGCAATGGTGTATGTGTGTGTGTGTGTGTGTTTATGAGTCTTTCTCCCTCACTCCCTTTCCAGGGGCATACTTGATGAGCCAGCCTTCACCCAGTCTCTGATTACCTCGGCACCAAAGCCCATATCCTATCAGCTTCGAGAAACTACTCCCCCTCACTGCTCCTCGTTTCCATCCTCCCTCCCTCCTCCTCACTGTCCCACATCTTCTCACTGTGAACCTCAGGTTCTGTTAAGTGGGGCAATGACAGGGCAGAAAGAACAGCACAACCCTGTGGACAGTGAGGGCACTGCAGGATGTTCAGGAAACAGGCCAGAAACACAGAACACTCTGCACACAGAACATATGCCTGCTGACATGATGGAGGATGTTTTGCTGAACACCCTTCAGAACCTGATGATGGAAGCTGTCAGAGGGGAGCTTGTCCTAACAGCGCATCCTCGCACTGTTATCTTGCCTCCTGTTTCTACCAGGTGAAGACAGACAGATATAGTAGCTCTGGTAGTGTTATCTGTCAGTCAGAAATACAATGATTAACCTGTTGTGTGTTCCATTAGGACCAGGAGGACTGCTGTGGCTGAGGATGAGACAGAACATTTGAAAAACAAACAGGAAACAGCAGAAAGTTAAGTCTCACCATCTACCCAACGTCCAAGAGGTCTGTCTTCATTAAAATACATCTTATAGTTCCCATGTTCACTTTGCCCTGATTCTTGACCTGTTAGCTTTCCTGTATTCCACCCAGTGCCATCGATCATTTTCCCTCCTCCAGCCCAACTGCTGTATTCATGTGTCTCTCTTTACAGCCTCGTTCCTCCCAGACTCTTCCATAAACATAACATAAATGATGAGTTGTAATGAGACATTTTCGGGAATCAATAACACAGATTCCAACGTATTATTAGATTCCTATGACACTTTGTGTGTTAGTGGCAGGTTGATGAAAGCATTGGAAAATTTGAAATGTAACCAAAGGTTTCTTGACCATGATGTTCAGAATATTAGAATGTGTTTTATTTGCATTTATATGACATTTTGGAAGACTGTTAGATATGACATTATTATATTACACTGCATGTGAAACTTTTTTCGCCAATAGTATTGCAAACAACCATTTACAGAACATTTGAATTTTACTTTTCCTGTTTAATTTTTTTAACCTTAGGCCTTGATTCCATGTCTGTCTGATTAAATCAACAGCAATAACAGTCAATAACAATATGAGTAATGATACAGCAGGGACATATCTTCACAGCTCTTATTATTTTTTCACAATATTTCACCCTGTGCAGTGTACATGTTCTATCAGCGGTTCTAAACTGTTTTGAAGAATCAACCACCAGTCCAAAGGATACTGTGTGGCAATTTATGGTATATCTTCAAACATCAATTAAACCACATTTAATGTCACACATTTGTACATAAATAAATAAATACATAAAATGTCATCTGACTTTCATTTAGCAACTTATAAATTAACAACATACAAAAAACGAATATTTTGCTCTTTGAAATCAGTGGTAAAGTCAGTGTAACTATAGCCATTAAAATAGTGCTAAGTTCCGGACATAAGATGCAAATATAAGATATAAAATCACACTAAGTGCCAGAGAAGTAGTATTTCAGCTGTTACGACTACCCCTCTTCAGTAGTTGGACTTTAAAGGGGTGTGATCTTATTCATTTTCATCTTGTTTTTATCTTTTTAACAAAGAAAGAAGTTACCCACATCCAGCTTCAATTTAAATGGAAACAGAGTGAGAAGACAGCTTTGATATCAGATGCCTTTGTGTTGAACGATAATCCTTGTAAATCTATTTCCTTTTTGACTTTCATGCTCAAAACAAGGCACGCTGTTTGAAAAAATGACAAAAATAGGGGAACTGGAATAAATAAAAATGTCAGAAGTTTATTTTTATTTTTTTACAGTAAATTAAGGATCAACCAATACAAGCCACAGAGGAATCTTTGTCGAACTTGTACTTCAGCTTGTTCAATTGTTATGTACTGTGTTTGGCAAATACAGAGGTGATACTGATGTTGTGTACCTTAGTGTTCACATTAAATTCATATATGTTCCCATTTTCATCACAGAGTTGTGTATATTTCTATGGTTAGTGCTTACCTATAGTGTATCCACATCCAGTAAAGGTCTTGGTGGAGTAAACCTTCCCCCCAGCAGCTTTTGAAGTGGCCCTCTGACCTGTTTGTACAGGAGAACCGCCATAGGTGTCTCAAAGGCCTGAACCACTTATTATATGAACTTATTACTATTTTTTATTCTTTTAATTTATGTACAGTATTACAACATTAGAAAGAGTGCTCACCTGTGGTAGATTGCTGAGTCTTCCCATGGCAACTATCTGTTTAGCGATCTGAAGAGTGGTGTGTGTCTCAGCATGGCATACAAAGTATTCAGCCACAGCCTCAAAGATTGGCTCAGAGTAGAACCTCATTTGCAGACAGTACCCTAGGACGGTGCTGATCAGCTCTGGATCACAATTTCCCCAGCCTTCCTGACACACACAGCACAGCATATGGGGAATTAACATTTCTGCCACCAAGTAGCACAAATATCCCTCTGGCTAAAGACAGTCAATGCATGAAAAATGCAGTCTATTTAGACTAACAGACAAGTTTTCCTTAGCCCAGTTGAGGAAAATAAACCACACCTGGTAGGTGTTTCTCCATGGCGGCCAGGAGCTCTACATTATGCTCTCCGAGGTAACAGCGCAGAGAGCATCTTCATAACTTCAACATCACTAAAAGCTGTAAAGACCTGTGATGCTCTGTGACTCGGAAATGGCCTGTGAAACAAATATTAGTACTATTATTCTCAACAATACTTAATAGCAATACCATTACATTTGTTTTGTTCCAAACTCGTCAGTGTAAAGAAACCAATTACAAATGTCAAAAAATAAGTGAAATCTAAGTGAAAATCTCATTCCACATTGTGGAAGCAGTAACTTAAACATAATGCTGTATATTGCTGACTTGACAAGCTTTCAGCTGCTGGACCAGCCTCTGTGTGTCTGCTGCTTGCTGGCAGGATTGTAACACAGAGCCAGCAGGGAGTAGACTCTGGCAGCCTCGCTGGGAGAGAGGACGTCCTCTTCTACAGCAACATCTATAGAGTTCAGGACCTCCATCAGTGTGACGGCCTTCCAGGGCGTAAGCCACCTCACCTAGGATGCAGAGCTGTGTCACCTCCATGTCCCTGTTGGAGAGGAGCTCCGGGCGCTCATTCATCAGTCTGAGGACTAGAGGGCTGTCGGCATCTAAGCCAAATTCAACACATGCTCCGAGTAAAGCGGCCAGTCCCTCTGCCCTGTCGTTGCTGGGGTAGCCTGCCAGTCTGGAGCACATCTCAGAGATCACCTTCAAACAGAGACTGCATACTGACAGCTGCACTGCTCTGTGGTTTGGTGTACGGGCTGTATGGAGACAGGTGTGGGGCTGGCCTCGCAGCTGTTATAGGTAGTCTGCCAAACTGGTACAGGGTCAGTGCATTCTCTCCTTCCTCTGGTATGGGCAGCGGCGTGGGGAGAGGGGCTGCACAACACTGCAGTGAGTGCCATGAAAAGTACGCACACACGTTGTGCACGGTTGTTGCAGAACTAGAGCATCTGCCTATTGGGCTGCAATGAATTAGTCCACGATTTAGAGGACAACAAGCTGAGGTGTGCTGGCCCGCCGCTCTGACAGACGAGGAGAGTCGTCTGTCTCTCCTGGTGTGGACTTCATTGTTGTCTCAGTGATGTAAAAGCCCCTTCCTGTCTCAGAACACCACATAGACAAGAAAAGTCACTGTCAGTGCATTTACATATGGTACACACAGGGCCTAACTGTGTAAAGTCAACAAGCTAAAGCTAAATTAAATAAATAAATATATAATAAATATAAGAGGCTTACACATTACAAGGAAAATGTAAGGAAAATGTGGTCTCACCTCACACTGTCTTTAGGATTTTATTCGGCTGCAACATATTACAGAACTGGCCTTCAGTGTTTGGTAATAGGTTGTCAATGGTGAGATTAGATGTGCTGCCACCCTGTGGTTAAACCGTATTTTGCACACTGCATGTGTATTATCAAAACTGCTTCCTGCTTCTCTGATATTACTGTGAAGGCCCTAGGGTTGGCCTTATTCTGTTCCTCTTGCTTGGTTTACTCTTTGTTTCAGGAAGTA